CAGCGACTACTTCCTTATTGCTCATATCATCGAGTACATCTGGACCTCAATTCTTGACCATGAATCCAGTGACCCATGCCATCGAATCATTCGTCGCCAAGGTTTCTTTGTCCGTCTGTGTGTTGTCCTCGATCGCGAAGTTTGATGTTCTGTTCGAGGGTCTGCATAAGTGCTCGCACATGCAGCGACTTGTTTCCCCGCGCCGCTGGCTGCGAGATGTGACAATTGTCACGGCAAGTATAGCGGGCTGTACACGGCAGCGGCTGAGCTCGTCCGCGGCTGATGTCCGCTCGATCCGCCCGCCGATTTGAACCTTAACAGTCAAACACGAGGTCCTCTGTCCTCGTGCCAACGGGAGCATATGGTCGCGGCGCACCTGATCGGCAAAATGTGCGACTGGCAAATCAAGAAGCCGCGCCAGCTGCTTGCTTTGCAGTACCCGACGGCAACTTGGACCGTGCTAGCTTCGAGTTCCTGCCTCGAGAGCGCCATTCTATGCACGCCCTTGTGCAGCTTCACGGCCTCGGAGCTCCACGGTCAGAATAGGCAAATAAGGAGCTCAGGTGGGAGTAAAAAGTTATGAGTGGTGCATGGGCATGCTCGATCAACACCTCATCGGCTTCAAAGCATGCAAGCGCAGCATTTGTCCGCGACTCTCATCATTTCAGCGTCTCGTATTCTGTTCCTGAGACATCGTTCTCAGCGACCATATTCTGCTTGTCAAGAGGAGGCTTGTGCATGACCTCACTCACTCTTGACCATACAGTCTGGAATGCTGCCCTGCTGCAACCCCACTTTAGATTGCCTGCGCCCACGGCAGTTCCTTTCGAGTCCGACCATTGAATAGTCGCACAGTACGGCGGCGTTCTGTCTGTCTGTAAGACTCCCGCCTCCACGAGCTGCGCACACTCAAAGGCGCGGCCTGTCGACAGTCACAAGTCTTCGCACGTTGCAGCGTGCCTTATCTGGGGGGACGATGGTTGACTGGCACACTACGTACAATGGCGGAAATAGGGCACTGTGTACCACAGGACACGACGCAGGGCCAATGGCCGCACAGTCACGCTTGGCGCGGCGTACTCGACTATCATGGTGCCCCAATGCGATTAGCCGAGCTCCATGAAAGGTTAACAGCGAATCTAAGCAACGCGGATGATTCTTGATCGATGCAGTCATCGATGGATGCGTGCTGCTGCTGTTCTCGCAACCCGCACCACAAGTCCGAGTGGCTACTTAATTGTGGCCCTGCACTTTGCATGCAGCGAACCCGCCGATCACATCAACTTGGCCCTTGCACGAGTTTGCGCCTTGACCTTCTAAGCGTCGGCACCACTCACTGCATGGATGCTGTACTGTACTCCTGTCTCCTCGTGGTGCCTCTCTCTATCTCTCTGTTCTGTGTACCTGAATGCTTGAGCAGCTGATCACTTTGCGCATCAACGGTTAATCCTCGCTTGCCCGTGACTAGACTTTCGTGCGTGACCCAGCTCGCCTGATCTCGCTTCCGGGCTGTGCTTCCGTGGATGCATGGAATCTGCGCGTTGCGAGTGCAGGCACTCACGACTGAGGGAACCCCTCACGCACACAACGTGTGACCGATCGCGCTGATGTCCTGGTCTGCAAGTGCTCAGCAGCCCCTTATAGGCATTGTTGACTCCCATGTCTCCTCCTCGACATCCGCTTCGCAACCTGTCCAAGCGTCCTTCACGACATCTGAGCCTTCTTTTGCAATAAAGCGTCGCGCAGTCTGAACAAGCGTCTACCATTCGACGCAACCTCTGTTGTCCTCCGCTGCTCCTCGCAATCGGTCTGAGCCCTCAGCGGACCGCTCTCATCTCCACGATTCACATCGCCCTCCGAAGCACGCTCGGGGCGCTCTGTACACGCATCTCGACGACGTCGTCATCGGCACCGGTGACGAGTTCGACGTTGTTCTCGTAGCCCGACAATTCCGAACAGCAACATGTCTTACCACGTCGATTCCAGCGACCAAGCCGAGATAGCAGCAACGCCAAGCAGCACTTATTCCATCGAAGGTCCCCTCGAGTGCGAGCTGCGACAAGGCCAACCTGATCATCATGCATGGCAAAGCTCCTTCACTAGCCTCCGACCGTCGACGTCTACCGCTCTTGCCCACACAGCTCCACCTCTGAAACCCAGAGCCAGACTCACGTCTCAGCAGACCAACTTGCTGGAATACACCTTCAAAAGTAGGTCTTGCCACCGCAGCCACGTAGCCCCAAGGCGCAAATCGTACTCAAAGCATTGCTTTGTACTGTCGCAGTGAACTCACATCCTGATCTGACACATCGTGAACTGCTTGCTGCTCACGCGGGCATGAATGCCAAACAGGTCAATGTACGTATGCACAGGTGTAGTGAATCATCGAGCATCGTGCTCAGCCGCGCGCGCGCGCGTCTCTCGCACTCCTCGCAGGTGTGGTTTCAAAATCGCCGCCAAAAGCTCAAGCATAGCGCCATGCGCGCCGCGGCGGGCAAACCGCCACCGCGACAACGCAAAGATCCTCACTTGCCCGTGGCCGCAATGAAGCGACCGTCTGCCTCTTGTGCTGCAATGCCCGGCGATCAACTTCCTGCCTACACCGACGGCTCAGCATCACCGGCTTCAAATTCGATCTCCGATGCCAACGCACAGTGCCAATTACAAGCTGGCTTGCAACGAAGCGGCACATGGGGCGGCTCAACGAATCGAAGTACCGCCTCCACGCTTTTGGCTCGCCGCAGAACCATCAACGAAGCACACATTGGGCCCAGCGCGGCCCTCACGATACGCCCAGCCTCTGTAGCGCCGACACCATGTGAAAGTCTTGCACCCACACCGTCGCTTGGGACAGGCTCATCCTTATGGACAGAGGCGTCTTTCCCAGAGGCGGCGACGCATCATGGCTCTGATGACATGAGCCAGCTAGCTCAGCTGCAGCAAGAGCTGCTGGATCAGTTTGCACGCTCGAACGCAGTCAATCGAAATACCGCCGTCGACTCTATGCAGGATGCTCAACAAATCTTTGCAATGCATGGTTTGGGCCAGCAAGCAGCTCCATGCTGTTCGAACGATTTCACTCCCACGCAAGCTACGTCGATGGCTGATTGTAGCGGTCACCTGCTGGGCCTTGGCCTTGGTCTGCCCTGTGAAACCCTACGCAGTACAAGCACGGCTGGATCTCATCATCAATGCGATGCACCGTGGCAAAACTCCATCCTTCAGCCTCAACAACAACCGAGCGCCATGAACTTTGCGAACGCTGTCAATCTCCCCGACATGTTGCAAGCTTGGCTCTGCAGTTCCGCGTCGAGCAGCAACTCCAACAACGACAATCGTCGACACTCTACGACGGGCCACGATTTCGGACGCGAAGCTTTGTCGACGGATGTTTGGGACATGGGTGCGGTCGAAGCGCCAGCAGCATGCAAGAACGTCGCAGAGCCAGGGGTCGATTTCGAAACATTGCCGTTGCTGGCCGACCTGCAGCGAGGCTCTTCAGCAGCGACGCTCGCGCATCAGCAGCCCAGTGCGACGACTTTGAGCACATCATCAGTGGCTGCAATGACCGCCCCTCCTTTCGCGCCGTCATCAGCTGACAGCTTTAGCGATCCGGCGCTCAAACGGCTACTTTGCGGCGGCACGAACATCGCCGATGCGTGCTCTCTGCCGCTGCCGCTCAACGAAGGTGCTTGTGCAACGTTCGAGCCACATTCACAAGTGCCGAGGAACGAAGGCGAGATGCTCTGAAGGCCTGTCCAGAGCCAGCGAGTAGAGTACCGAGTTCCTTGGCACGGGAGGGGGCCGAGAAGCCTACCTACTTTTGTATCCCACGTAATCTCGAGGCGCGCCACGCCGATGCATCCAAGTCAGACTTGTCATCATATTCCCACATGTCCCTCCATACCGTGACTGACAAATCAAGAATCAAGCATCCCTCGCCCACCCTTTTCCTCCATTGTATCTCTGCTCTGCACACACCTCAGCACTCGATTAATCTTCATGTGTTTCACGCCCGTCAATGTCGAACCGTGCAGCTCTCAAGAGCATGCGTTGCCACGTCACGTCCACCATCGTAGCATCACGCGCGCCCTACAGTATCAAACCCCAGTCGAGCCGAGGGGCTCTGAAACGCAAAAATGGCCATGTTCGTTGATGTGCACTGGAACATTAAAAGTGGTGTAATTCGCACTCGAAAGAGGAAAAGTGTGTGCGTGTGTGCGTGTTCGTACGTCGGAAAAAGAGGCCTATCCAAAAGAAAAGGATTGCGTGCAGGACGCAAAATGTGTACCGCGTGTAGAAGTCGTTGGCTGCTAGCAAGAGCACGTGTACATTAGAAGGGAGGAGCAAGATCGATTTGAGCGGTCGAGTGGCCAATGCCGAACGTCAAAAGTGGCGCCGTACGAGAAACGGTGTGATTGCGGAATGCCCAACGAGGTTAAAAGTCCACCTCTCGAGTGCGCTCTTCGATACCCGCCACCTTCTGGAGCATGCTTTCAAACTCGTTCTGCGCACCCTTTGCGCTCTTGAGCCTATTCTCCTCCTTTTCCACCCTAGCGCGCACTTCGGACAAGTGCACCCTGAACATCTCGTGCACTTCCCACGATACCAATCTGAGCACTCGGCGCGTCTCTCTTGCCGTTCTGTTCGTCTGGAACTCTACAAACGTCGGACCTTCTTTGGTCGTCGCGGCTGCGTTGGCGTTGGCGCTCGCAGGGGAGGAGATGGTGGTGGACAGGCCGGATGTGGAGGGTCGGGTGCTCGCAATGGGCGCATGTTGCAGCTCGTATGCGATGCTCCTGCCCGCATTGCGGGGAATAGAATTGGGCAGGTCTCGAATGTACCACACCACCAGCACGCTGCCCACGACGGCAAAGACGGGTGCGGTCCATTTCCTCACCGTACCGTTGCTCGCCAGGCTGGTAAACTTGAGCACGCTATCGATCAACGTCTTTGCTCCCAGCGTCTTGCCTCCCAACAGCGTCACCGCGCCCAGCGACAACGTCAGACCTCCCGCAGTCGCTGCATTCTCCTTCTCCTGCTTCGTCAAAGATCGCTCCTTGCCATCGCTCGCCGACTCTAGCAGATGGTCCAGGCCGGCTTTTCGCGAGACGATGAGAATGTAGTGGGGCAAGTCGAAAAGATCCGTCAACTTCACCTCGACCAGATCTTCCGAGAGACCCAATCCCGCGAATGCTGTTCCCCTGCTGTTGTTGCGTCTCTTGGCAAACATGGCTTCGGGCAGGAACACCCTTTGATTCTCCTTGGACGCGGCTTCAGCAGGCAATTGATCCTTGCCCATCTTTCTAATCTTCTCTACAGCTTCGATCGTCACACCCCTGGCGGAATCTTCAATGTTTTTGACGCTAGCCTCCATCGACTCAAGTAGAGCCGTGCGCACCTGCTGAGCGTACTCGAGCACGTTCAACAGTCCTTTCCACTCTGGCAAGCTGACGAGGGACGGCTCAGAACTTTGACCATTGGAGATGAGCTGCAGCGCCTTGTCCAGCTTGATCCTAGATCCTTGAACAACCCCGCTGACGATGCCTTCCTCTTGCATCTCCAGCTCCGACTCCAATTTGGCATGCCTCTTTTCTCCCTCCTTGAGCGCAGGTCGGTCCACGTTGAGGTTCTCTTGCGCTTCCGTCTTTTCGACGTGCGCAATGTCCAAATTCGTCCTGGCCACGTAGGCCAGGTCGAGCAGCAGCCTCAGCACGTACGTCTGCGCAGGCATCAATTTAGACTTGCTCCTCTTTTGCAACACAAAGTCTCGCAGGGAAGCTTCGAGAGCTGCGAACGAAGTGCTAGCTTCCGTGTTGCCTTGCACCTCGTCCATGTTGCCAACCTTGACTTCCTCGCCTGGAGTAACGGGTGGCGTAGCCCCAAAGACGGAGCTCGAGTCGACGAAATGGACCAGCTCTTCTGCATCCTCGTACGTTCGCGGGGAGAGCTGTCTGATCTGATCCAAGACCAGTCTCTTGCATTTGTCCTTGTTCCTGATCTGGTCAAACTTGTTGACGACGATGAAGACGTAAGCCTTGTCGTTGGACGCGTTCCATAGGAACTCTTTGGCCGATAGCGTAAAGTGATTCTCGGCAGAGACGACGAAAACGACGACGTCGATCTCTTCCTGACGAGCAAACAGCGCCGTGGTTTTGAGGCTGTCTCTGTTCAAGCCTGGAGCGTCGATGAGCGAGATGTCGACGACACCGTTGTGCAGTAGCGAGGCCTTGGCAGACCTGGTGTCGGCGCAGTAGCACTTGAGCAAGGGTGCATCCTCCGATGACAACTCTTCAGCATCTGCCACAATCTTTTCGATCTCAGCGAGAGTATGCTTGGTGTAGGTGCTCTCATTGGTTCGATCGTATGGCGTGTCGTTCTTGAGCATGTGCACCTCTTCCACACCTTCGTTGGATTCGTTGGCGTCTAGCGTCTCGCAAAAGACGGTGGTGCAAGGTTGTTGGTCGGTCGGCATCACTCTTCTCCTCAGCAGAGCGTTGACAAAGGTGGATTTGCCGGCGTTGAGATCGCCAGTGACGAGCACTTTGGACTGCTTGTCGCTGATGCGAGCCTTGAGATTGTTGAGGTGACGCTGCGATTGCGACATTCTGCCGTCCAAGAGTTGAGCGATGGAGGACTTCTCCAACGTCTTTACCAGTGCGGATGGGTTGCGCGTCGTTGCTCCCAGCTTGAGGTCCAATCGCAAGACGGACATCTCGCCCTCCTTGGGCTCATCCACGGAGCCGGGCGAGAGCGTGTTGGACCTGTTGAGAGGCTTGCGCGTGGGTGTGGTGGGTGCAGATGCAGTGTGAGGTGCTGCGGCGGTGTAGGAACGGTGCAGAGTGGGGTGTTCTGCGGTTGTCTGCGGTGCACCTGCTTCCAGCGATTCGCCAGGTGCAGTGGAATGGGATCGACGGACGTTGGGAGACGATGACGATGATGAAGCGTTGCCTTCGACGCGATCCGTCTCGGGGTAGTGAATGATCCAATGGTCGGCTGCCCACTCTCGCAACTGGCCCACCACCTTGTTGGTGCTGTCAATCGACTGGATCAGGCTGCGAGCAAACACGGTGGCGTGTACGTCAGTTCGTGGTTCCTGTGCCTCTGGTGGCCGCCGCATACAAGCACTCACGTGTCCCTGTTGTCAGCAAAGATTCTCTGGTGAAGCAGCACAGCTTGTTCCTTTTCCATCCTCTCCTGCTCCGCATCCCCGCTGCTCTGCTCTCCCGGCAGCTTCTTGATTACGTTCTGGGGGCTTGCAGGTTGAATGCCCGTCTGCTCTGCAGAGGTGGGATCTGCAGAGGGCACAATGCTGGCATACTGTTGCGACATTCTGGATGAAGCAAGCGGGTGGCCACGCGTAGCTCAGCTATGTTTGCGTGTTATCGCCACGCTGCAATCCTGCGATCGGGGTGCGACTGCTTTGACAACCTCGTTCCTGGTGCGCTCGCCTGATGGATGAGCGAGGAGCGATGTGACAGAAAGCGTGGAATGGGATGATGTGTGAACACGATGTTGGAGATGAGGCTGATGATCGAGGTGTGCTGTGACTCTTGACTCACGAGGGATGAGATGAGATTATGTGCATACACAAGCCTGCCCCA